CCATTAACAAAAAACCGTAGGTGGTAAATGTGAGAGAAACAAGATGATAACTCTCCCCTGGCTTTGATGGGGAGTGGTGGACTGGACCAGGCAAAGGCATGGACATGCTTCTCTTGACAGGGTCCATGGATTCTCCAACTACTCTTCCATATAAGGTCTCTCTAGAGCTTGTGCATCCCATTTAGAGAGAGAGACCCACCTTGAAAAGACCCTCTTCACGCCAACCCCCTTTTCTTTCTATTGCGAAAACATGACACTTTGCTTGCTTTCCTTAATGGATAAACTCTCTCTAAAGCTTTTTATGGGTCTTTCTCTCTCTTCTCTCTAAATCTTCTGTCAATATAGAGCTTCCTCCTTTTTGGGTCCCTCCCTCCATTTTGGAACCGTTCTTTTCTTGGGTTCTCTCCCTTTCTGGTTTCTTATTCTTAAACTGTTTATTGATTTATTGAGTTCTCTCTCATTAAAACTTGTAATTTATTAGGTGTTTTTCCCTCTAGGTTTTCTCTCTAAAACAAGACTTTCTCATATGGACTTTTGAGTTTCCACTCTCTAAAAGAGAACTTTCTTCTATAGACTTTGACAGCACAACTGGTGTTGTGATAAAGAGGGCTTATGGAAGTTGCAGATATAGAGAGAGAAAAAAAAAAAGTAGTAGGCTGGGAGAGAGAATGGATTGAATTAGAAAACAAGTTTGGTGCTGGTTAGTTTTATAATGAAGAAGAATACTTGCTTTTTGATTGCCTCTTACACAAATAACAGAGAGAAAGAGACGGTGAGAGAGGTGAGAGACAGAGTTTTTAGGGAGGGAGACTTTATAAAGACTTTATGCCACAAGAAATGGTTTAAATTCTTGGGTCTTTTGAGAAATAAAAACAAAAAATAAAAAGTACAGAGATATTTTCCCTTTTATTTTTGTCCAATGTTTTTATTGTTAGCGCAAATAGTTGTCCTAACGGGACAAGTTTGACGGAGCTCAAAAGGACTAAAGAATTGAAAAAACTCTCAAAAATATCCTAAACAATATAAAAAGTATGTCTAAAGTATGTCTAAAGTATAATTATGGAAAAATATCTCTATAGACAGACCATATTTTCAACTTTCATTTCTCCATTGACCTAATGTTGCAAAACCTATCTTACTACATAGAAATTCACTCTAATATATCTCCTAACTCCCTAAATATATTTTATCCAAGATCTCTTATTTGCGGGGACAGGAGCTATTATTTATCATGGTCTCCATTCCTCTCTCAAAACCCTCTTCTTGAGCTCGAAACTCTCTCCCCTCCCTAGCCAACAACGAACTCTTGGGCAGCTTCCCTCCAATATAACAAGAAATTTCACCCATCTCCGCTATCTCAACCTCTTTTTTAATGCACTGTCTGGAGAGATTACTGCCAGTCTAGCCCAGGCACCGGAGCTCACATCCCTCTTCCTCAGCAACAACTTTTCTTGCAATTTACCCAGTGGGTTCGGCTCTAATTATTCAGTAGCTCCTGAAGTGTTGGATTTTTCTTCGAATTTGTTGAATGGGCCTTTTACCTGAAGACCTGGATGGCAATATCCAATACCTAAACCTTTCATGGAACCGCTTTTCCAATGAGATTCCAACAAGTTTGGATCAAAAGCCATAATCTTTTTCTAGAAATGTAGGCCTTTGCAGTAGGGCTTTGAAGAATATTTGTTATGCACCTGCAACTCTGTCCAATTCAACCCCCACTTCGACAACTTCACCACCTGCCATTGCATCACACTCTTGGGGCTCAGGCTCTTATTGCGACCACAGTAACCAACAAAAATGGCTCAATAGTTGTGACTAGAAACTAGAGCAATAACAAAGGGCTGAAACCAAGGGCCATTGCCATAAATGTGGTTTGAGATTTTGCAAGTTATGGGCTTCTGGCCATGGTCATTATTGACAAATACCAGGTCAAGAATCAAAAGGACAGTTAAAAATGGGGATAAGTTGGCTAGGGAGAGAGTTTCGAGAGAGAGGAGCGGAGACGATGATAGGGAAGTGGAGGTGCTCTATAGCAAACAAGCTTTATTCTTTGTAAAAGAGGTGGATTTGGGCTTAACAATTGATGGCAGGCGGAGGAGAGAGACAGCCGGTGGTAGAGAGAGGGCGGTAGAGAGAGATGGCAGGTGGAGTAGAGAAAGAGAGAGGGTTGTTAGAGAGAGAGAAAGATAGATGGAGCTCATGAACGTGGACAGTCTAGAGAGAGAAACAGATGAGGAGAGAGAGTTAGAAAAAAGATATATTTTTTAATTTGTTTGGGTTGAAAGTTGGAATAAAAATAGATAAAGTCATTTAGGGGGTTAGCAGATAGGTTTTGAAATTTTGAGGAAGAAATGAAAGCTGAAAACGGGGCCTCTGGAGATATTTTCAAATACATCAAAATGAGATTAATAAAGTAGAGAAAAACAGTTTTGAAAAATCAATTTGAGCCCAATGATATTTTAAAAAGATTCTAATAAATAAGGGAAATGTGAAAATAAGTAGTTATGGCCAAAATACATTCTGATCTTTTCCCAAACAATCGAAAATATTAAAAAGAATATTGGAAACAAATTTCTTATTTTTTGAATTTCTTATTTTTTTTGAATTTTTTTTTAAGTTCTCATCTTGACTTCCCTGATCGGCTGAAACTAACCACGACCAATGGCCGGTTTCTAGTAACTTGCCCCTTCCAAGTCGACCCGATCAATTTTGCAAATAATATTCTAGGTATCTTCCTCCTCAACACTTTTCATACCATACTATTAACCCCAACACTATCTTTCTTTGCAAACACCCCCAAGTAATTTTTAAATTTTTTTGGAACAAAATGCTATTGTTTAATCCATATTTCCAAAACATGATGTCCAACATGTGTTAGTCTGACTTGCTTGTGCCAGTCCGATAGAAATAGAGAGAGAAAGTGGAAAACGTGCCCTAAAAAGAAAGTATTTTTGGTAAAAAAAAAAGGCCTAATTTTTTGCTTTCAGAGGTAATTGCAAATACAAAAAGATTTGGGGTTGGGAATGTGACTTACAAAGTACGGGGTACTAGCATGCCTAGAAAGTAGGGTGTTCCAATGCATGATGCCCAACATGTGCGAGTCTGACACAAAAATGTGGTAAACGTGCCTGTTCCGGTCCGATGGAAATAGAGAGGGAAATTGGAAAATGTTCTCTATAAGGAAGATATTTTGGTACAAAAATGCCTTTTTTTTTTTTCCGAGAGTAGCTGCAAACAAAAAGGTTTTAAGGTTAGAAGGGTGACTTTCAAAGTACTCGGGACTAGAATGTCTAGAAAGGAGGTTCAAGGAATATCTATAAATTTTCCTTACAATAGGGAAAATGGTTTGATAGGACTGCATCTATATCAAAACAAGTAAAGCCTCGCATTATAACTCATCAAAAATTGCAATTCAAGTATTGAAAAATCTTTATATGAATTACCATGGCTTGAACATTATGGTTGTGAAAAAAACAAATGGATTTCAAGCTCTAAAAAAAATGTACATTTGTAATAAATTATCTAGATCGTCCATTTCACTCTAAAAATAAGTGTTCGTAGATCCATATGATCTATCCCATTTTTTGAGTTTTGAATCACATTGTCGGTGTTGGAAATTGATTTTAGAGCCATCATGAAGATTTTCATTGTCAAAAGTATTTTTCTGACAAAAATTTGAGGTGAGGGTTTATTTTGTTTTCATAAAACCTATGCCTTATAGAACCTCTTCAAACCTATGGTAATTTAAGTGCAGAAAATGGTTTGATAGGGCTACAGCCCTAACAAAATAAGTAATAAGTAAAGCCTCACCTCATAACTCATCTAAAATTGCAATTCAAGCATTAGAAAACCTTTATACGAATCATCTTGGCTTGAACATTATGGTTGTGAAAGTCAAAAAGATTTCAAGCTCTAAAAAAAGTATATATTGTAATAAAGATCCTTCATTTTGCCCTAAAAATAAGTGAAAATAAATGTTCATAGATACGCAGGATCTGTACCTTTTTTTAGGTTCAAATTTCATTGTCGGTATTCAAAATTGATTTTAGAGTCGTTATGGAGATTTCTATTGTTGAAAGTACTTTCCAGACAAAGATTTGAGGTAAGGATTTATTTTGTTTTCACAAATCCATACCCCTATTTTTAAGTTTCATTTCAGAATAGACCTAAGGTTTTAAAAGATATATTAAGGTATAAAAATTATAGATTATATTTCTTCGAACCCCCTAAGGTAATTTAAACCTTTTTTTTTTAAGCCAAACAAAACTAAAAAGACATGCCTTTTTTAAAAGACATCCTCCGAAACTTTTAGAGAGAGAAAAAAAAAGGGCTTCATGGAGGTGAGAGGTTATCGGGAGGAGAGAGAGAGGTATTTGGAGAAACAAGAGAGGAGGGCGAGGAGAAACAAGAGAGGAGAGAGAGTGAGGGACGAAGGAAGAGCAAGAAAGAGAGAAGTTTAGGATACATAAGCGAAGAGAGATAAATGATCGGGTTTAGAAAAAACACGTCTTTTTCACATTTGTTTAAGTTGAAAAATAAATTTAAAGTATTAGAGAGTTAGAAGATATCTTTTGAAATACTGAGTTTATCAATAAATTAAATCTAAACATAAAAGGTACGAAGGTATGTTTCCTAATTTTAATTATTTCTTGTATTTACGAGGTAGATTTGATGAGTCTTAGTGACAGCTTGGATGCTCCTTAGGGAAGGGAGCGTGATACCTAAAACTGGATGCTCCTTCGGGAGGGGAGCATGATACCTAAAACATCCCCCCTTACTAACCGTTTCAGTAATGGCCTTTACTGTTTGAATTGAGTTCTCCATTTTTTCTTCCAATTAACACCACGCTCAACTCATGACCCAACATTAACAACACTCGCCACACGTGTCTCACTCAACTTCCTTGGTTTATGCGTCCATGCACCATTTTCTCTTCATTTTCCTATAAAACCACTATTCTCAAACAGGTTTTTACCCTTCATTTTTCCATAAATCGGTTTTATGCAATGCCAGAGTGCTGGTCATTGATGTGTTTTTTAAATCATTGGTTCATTGGTTATAACTAAAATATTGAACAAGAGATTCCTGAAGAGATTCCTGCGAATAGGAAGAGGAAAATGGAGGGAGAGTGGCACCATTTCCATTATACAGTTGCAGTTGCAATCTTTATGGGGGCATCTTTTGCCATTGCTCTGATTTTCAGGCGACAAAAAATGTCAAAACTGCCGCCTGGAAATCTTGGCTGGTGCCCCTTCTTGGGCCGAACCCTCGGCTTCGTCAACCCGCATCCCTCCACCTCCAATGGCCACTTCCTCGATCAAAATATCATCAAGTCTCTCTTTCTATTCTCCTCTCTGTTGTTCTCTCATTCTATTCATAGTACTGAAAGCTTGATTTCTTTTCTGGTTTTTTTCAGATATGGGAAGATATTTCGCAGTCATTTGTTCGGGCACCGGACTATTGTGTCATGTGATCAAGAGTTTAACAATTTTGTGCTGCAAAATGAAGATAGGTTCTTTGTTAGCAGTTACCCTGCAAATATCCCTGGCATTCTCGGGCGTTTGACACTGCTTGTGGCAACTGGAACTGTCCACAAGAGGCTCAGAGCAGTGGCTCTCAGCCTCTTTGCTGCCATAAGGAATGAGCAACAAACATTTCTCGACGACCTGCAAAATTGCGCTCTCCTCCTCGTGAAATCATGGAAGAATACAGAAACCATCATCTTTTGCAACGAAGCTCGAAAGGTTAGGTTTCTCTGTCACTCGCATTGAACTTGATATAACAGAGAAGAAGGGGATGAAATATTGTATGTGCTACGAAATTTTAATGGTTTATTACGTTTCTTTCGCAGTATACCTTTACAGTGATAGTGAAGGAGATATTGAGCTTGAAAGCAGATGATCCAGAAACCTCCATGATCCTGGAAAACTTCTTGACTTTCATGAAGGGTCTATGTTCTATCCCCATCAAACTCCCCGGAACCGCGTATGAAATGGCCATACAGGTACCCTTCAATCCGAAACCCGACCTGGAACTCTCTCGATAGGTTTCTCTAATGATTTTTTATAATGGAATTTCAGTCGAGGCGAAGGATATTTGAGATTGTGAGGACAATTGTAAGGAGGAGGAAAAACACAGGAGATCATGGAGAAAGGAAGAGGAAGGACTTTTTGGATGTGATGATGGAGATGGAAGGGATTAGTGAGGATGAGATACTGAGTTTAGTGATGGATCTTTTGCTTGGAGGCCATGAAACCACTGCAATGCTCATCTCAATCCTTGTCAAATGCCTCTCTGAATCTCCTCCTGCTCTACACCAACTCAGGGTACTAACTCCTTCATTCATTACTACTATCACCGTTAAAATGGTCAGTGAGTCGGATTCAGTAGGCTGTCAAGTCCGAAACCAAAAATCTAAAAAAAGACTGAATGGCAATTTTAGCAAAAATAAAAAAAATGTGTTTTAACCGGCCTTCTTTATAATTTCTATCAATAAATGGAGCATTTCCTATTTTTTTAAAAATAATTTCTACCAATAAATGGAGCATTTCCTATTTTTTTAAAAAATTTAAGGTAAGTATGTAAATCACTCAATATGTTTTAGTGATTTATTTGAAAACTCAACCGAGGCTCCGAGACTTGGGTGTCTCGAGTTCTTGGCTTGAGCTCGGAACCACAACCAATCCAACCCGAGTCCCCGCTTCAAAAAGCTGATCTTCTTTCTAACCTGCTTCATATATGCATCTGTTCTCTCTCTTTTGGAGCAGGAGGAGCACAGAGGAGTGAGAAAGAGAAAGGAAAAGGGAGAGGGGTTGATGTGGGAAGATTACAAGAATATGAAGTTTACTCAGATGCTAATAAAGGAGGGCCTGCGTTATGGGAACGTGGTCAAGTTCGTTCACAGGAAAGCCCTCCAAACAATCAACTTCAAAGGTGCAATATCTTTTTCTTTTTTAATTTTGAATAAACCCACTATTTAATTTTGCATCCAATTCCCCAAAGTTGCTACTTAGGAGGGTTTTTCCTATCTGAATTTTTTAGATCTAATTAAGAAACGCTGCATGATTGTTTTTCAAAAAAAAAAAATTAAGATCTTTTAGATATAAAGCCTCACATTCTAAAAAAGGTACTTTGGAACATTACTTTTTTAACATTTAAGGCATATAAAGAGGGCAATTCAAATGTTTTTATAGGTTAGTTACTGGATTAAAGAGGTTACATCCTCAAAATAATAATCGGCCAGTTTGGTCAAAAACAATAATTGCGTATGATTCAAAATCAATCTAAACAAATGTTCGGCAAGTTTTAACTAAATAAGTCAGCTAAATTTTGACTGGTTCAACTGACATGCAATTATTTGATATATTTCCATATAACTCTTATTTCTATTTCTCTAAAATCTGTTCTAAATGATTCGACAAGAAGTTGGACTGATTGTAGTTGAACTATACTTTCACTAGTTTATTGAACTAATGTGATGATGTTAGTATAGACCGCATAAGCCCACAGGAGCAAAAGAAAATATTTTTATTTACAGGAAACCGACATTTTCATTGATAAAATGGTAATCACGTTAAATAGCCACAATAAATATAATATAAATATAGGAAAAAGTAAGTTTTCAACCTTATAGTATTGAAGTAAAGTGCACCTTAAAAATCCTCTATAAGATATTTTTTGAAGTTGGAGAACCCTCCAATTTATGATCTCCACCTTGAGATGTGAACCCTCCAATTTATGTTCTCCATCTTGAGATGCAAAGCTTTGGAAAAAAAAAAATATTTATTTAATTAAATTTAAAAAATAGTGCATCTTGTAATAAGTTTTTTAGATTGTCAATTTTCAAGACTAGATCTACTGTATATATACTATTTTTAAAACTTAAAACTCTATAACAAGGAATAAAAAATAGATTTTTAAATAACCAAAAGTAAATTTTAAAAGTACACCTTACTAAGGTGGGCAAATTTTTCAAAACTTACCCATACATAAGTAAAGGGTGGAGGAGAGATAAAACATGAAATGTCCCTTTCAATAACTTTTCTAAGGAAAAGGTTTTTTTCTCACTCTGCAATCTCTCGCATGATTGTCTCAGTATGGGGATTCCATACATCTCATGCATATCGGCAAATTAATTGCTCCAGATTCAACATTCGTGTGAAGGGGTTTTGTCAATAAGGGCATAATTGATATTACTGAAACATTAACCCTACTTTTTGAAAACTTTTGCTGTCTGGTTGACTTGAACTATTTATTTTTCAAGAAAAGTTATCCTTTGTTTTTATCTTTAGTATTTGGTACCTGTGCTGAATTACCGTTTATTTATGGAAAATTGTCTCATTAAAGCTTGACCGCATTTTTACCTATGCGGTCCAAAAAGTGTGGAGCATCCATTTTAAAGATGGATGGTTCGATCTAAAAACAATGGAAATTAACCGTTCAAATATTTTCTTACTAGAATTATCATTTTTAGTTTTTAAAATTCATTTATTTTTTTATATTCACGATTTCCATGTTAAAAATTACATATCCTTAAAATCCATCTCAAAAATAGATTTATTGAGAGGCCCACATTTCTACATATGCGGACTTGGCCGTATAGAAACCAGGTCCTTTTTGATAAAGTCGGAAAAGTTATCCTTGTATCGTATAGTATTTGGCACGTGTGCTGAATTGCCCATTTTTTGATAAGGTGTGATATATACAAGGTGTTCACTTTAGATACTCAAACTTTGTTGGAAATGCAGTTCTAATTTTTAAATCTTTAAATAGCTTGAAATTTTGTTTCTACCTCCATTTAAAAATTTAAAGTTTGAAAATATTATAAATACTTGAAATCTAAAAAAATCTAAGGTCCAAATAATATGTGATGAACTATTTTTACGACTTGGAAATTATTTATTTGTCATCCAACATTTGGTGGCCAAGATAATCAGTTGAAGAGTTTTCCAATACCAAAACAACCCAATCTGAAGGATTTTGATAATTAGTAATAAATAAAATAAGATCATAAATTAAAATTCTTTTTTAATACAAGAAGATCACAATTAACTCTAATGTTGGATAAGGAATCAGGCAGCTACAAGTGTATTACAAAGTTCCAAAATACTTTTTTATAATGCACACCCCTTTTGTTGTTTGATTGTACATTTAATCTTCATAGATATTAGGAGGTTCTTGTACTAAAAATGAATAGTATTATTATATAGTTTCGTAAATAAAATGGTAATTATATAGGACATTAAACTTAAGACCTGAAATATGGAAAGGCAAACAATGGTCCTAAGCAATGCTATCATATTCACCTTGGAGTCTTATTCGGTTTGGTGAGAAAAATGAAATAATTTGGAGTTTCGATGGATTCAGGGAAGATTTTGGACTTTTTTAAAAATTTAATATAATATAGTTAGATATTTATATAAAAAATATATACAAATAATGAAAAATTCAAAATTCAACAAAAAAAAAGAAAAGCTTTATATAGCTATTTCTTTGCTGGCCGAAGCAGACCCGAAGTATACCCGAAGCAAATGCGAATATGACCAAAGCAGCCCGAAGCGGCCTGAATCTAAAAGCAACAACACCAAACTTTGCTTCACTTTGATTTATGCCTAAAATTCGAATGCTTCGGCCACATGAAATGTAATAACCCTTGTCCTAAGTCATTCCAAGGCCGTGTGGGTTTCATCCATAGCATTAGTGGGTTTTATATCTAGCATCAACATGGTTGGTGGGAACATTCAAAAAGAACAAAAAAAGAAAAGAAGAAGATTATGCTCCTACAACAATATGCTAAAACCCCATCTAGGACTAATTTTAGGATATTAAATTTTGGGCATGTAACTTCTTCAATCTATAAATCAACTTCATTTAAAAAATAATTTATTAATTTCACCCTAGATATATTTAAACAGTATAACATCTCGAGATTGAATAAAGATTATCCAATTTTTATAAGATGAGATCTCAGTGTTAGGATACCCAAAATTTAATTTCTTTGACCTTCCAAAATAATCATCTAGAGAGTTTTAGATCGTTACCAAAACTTTATATTGAAAAAAATCCTCCCAAGTTTGTCTCTGAGTGAAGTAATAGATGTACATTGTAGGCTCCCATGAAACTATAAGGACTCAAAAGATATAAAAATAAAAATAAAAACCATCACGGTTGGTAGGGCCTAGCAGTAGTCCCTGTAATGGTGTGATTAGAACTACAGGGACCACAATATGGCTTCCTCAGGAATATTCCAGCCCAATGTGGTAGGTTTATATGATGCAATAGGCATGTTACAGCTTGTGCAAGTTTTTTCTTTTTCCGTATATTAGTGGGGGAGAATGACGAGCACGTAGCCTATGCTATCTCTAATCGACAAGAGTGATTGTGACCTTACAATATATACTTTCTATATTAATCGAATATATAATATTTTTTTTTTTTTCACAGTATCGAAAGTAAGAGCATATATAGATTATGCCATCTTCGGAGCATAGTTTACTTTTACTCTCAGTCGGATAACTTACTTGGAAGGATTTTCTAGTTTGAAGTTTTGATAACCACCTTATAATCACTAGATGACTATTCTAAACAATAAAATTGAAATTTTAGTTTTTAATATTAATATTTCATTCTCTAAAAATTGGACAATTTCCTCGAGACATTCTTTTCTTCAAGTGCATAGAGGGTGCAATTAGGAATTTTTTTATTTATTGATGTTAATTGATATGTTAAAGGGGTTATATCCCAAAAATTTGGGGTCCTAAAATGAATCCTCAGCAGGGTTTTATCCAAGAGAGTAAATAAACAATATATTCCCAAGGGAGTAGAATATCGTTTGGCCAAACGGTTCGGTTTGTATAAAGCAAACGCTCTAAACAATCAAAGCACACCTTCAAATCAAATAGTATCGAGAAATATGGTTTTAATATTGAAAATATATGTGACAGACTTAAAATATAGTTTCATCTTTAATTATAAAATTTTAAACTTAAAAAATAGTATAGATCTGGCAAATCTATGAAAACTTGAAAATCTTGTAAATTGACCATCCAAAAATCCATTACAAGAAACACTATTTCCAAAACTTGTAATCCATTTTTTTCTCATATCCATGAATCTTGAGGTCGATATGTGACCAATTTAAGGATATTTGGGTATCAAAACAATATCTTCTAGTGAAATTTTTGACAAACACTCTAATTTTATTGTTTAGGGCATCACACTTATATAAACTTCTTCCTTTTATTTCTAAATCCATGTTGCATATGAATATTTGATACGCAGCAAATGTAGTTAGTGTACTGCGTCCTCTAAGGCATGAAAAACTTTTTCTTTTTTAAAACAGTTGAAAGCGAATATAAATGCCTAAGTCCAGGTCTGCCTTTGATAAATTTAGAGAAGCAATTTAGATCCTGTTGGATGATAATTACTATTTGGAATAGATTATCTTTTCTGACACTCGTATACTCGATAATAGTTTGGTATTTATCTTGCATTATGATAATAATATTTAAATTATTTTATTTTTGGCAATTTTTGGATATTTTTGCAAATCTAGCTAAAACATGTAATTTTCACAAAAAAGAATTTAATTAAAGCAAAAATAACTTTTCAAAAAAAAAAAAAACTTTTATATGAACTGTTAATGAGTTCCATCTGATAACTTTATGATGAAAACTACATGATTAATCTTATTGGATGGCGAATACATCCAAACAAACTTTAAGGAACTATTTCGGCTCCATGCATCATCACTTACCAATCAAACATTCTTATAACTGTCACGTATCAATCAATAGTTTTTTCTTTTTTTTTTTTGAAACATCCACATCTAACATCGATCCAATCTCCAAAAGAACCTTCCAATTCTCATCATCGTCATAATTCATGGGGTGGGGGTGAGGGAACCAGTTTGAATGGGGCCCCCTTAGACATGGATCTTTGCTCCAACATTTAAGGGCCAGCATTCATGAACATGGAAAATGAATTTTTAAATTTTATACTAGTATTTTTTTAACATTTTTTTAAAACTTATTTTACTTTTTATATGAATCTTTTTAGTAAAGGATAATCCAAAAAAGATGTGGTTAGAAGTAGTGTGAAAAGATATGGAGATTTATGGCCTCACTGAAAGTATGAGCTTTAATATAGCAAAATGGTGGGGCAGGATTCGTGTGGCAATTAATTGGAAAAAAGATATGATAATGATAATGACACTAGTATTTCTTTAGCATTTTTTCAAAACTTATTTGACTTTTCTTTCGGAACTATTTTTAGAGCCATAGAAAATTTGAGCTATAGAAGAACTGTATTTCCAATTACTTTTACAACCAAAATCCATAAAAAATGTAGGTGGACTCATGAGTCCCAGGACTCATGGTAGGATTTTGCATTTTAATGGCATAAAAGGGAGGGAGAGAAGGGCAAGTTTTCTATGTTTCTCCTATAGCATAAAACTTATATACTTCTCCTACAACATAAAACCTATATACTTCCCCTTATCCAACCGTCCATATTAAATGGAGGGTTAAGATTGCTCCAATCACAATGTCACGTTTTTACACTATTTTATTTTTAATTTTTTTATAAATTATTTTGATACCAAATTTGTACGTCCAATCCTCTATTAAGCTTGCACTAACGAAAAATATAAAAAAAATATTTTCAATAAAAATAAAATGATCAAAATACTCTTGAAAGATTCAAATGGTATTTTAGTTATTATCTTTTATCGAAAATTTATTTTTAATATTTTTTATAGGTGTGCCCGAATGAGAAGATGGCATGTACCAAATTTCATATTCACACAATTTATATAAAAAAAACTAAAAATAAAATACTTTGAGACGTCGAATCTAAGATCACAAGGTGAGGGGGGCTCTCTTGATCAAAATTGGACGGCTGGATGGTAGGGAAAGCATAGATCCTCTATGTTGTAGGAGAAGTTTAAAAACCTTTCTCGAGAGAGAATGCAATTTATTTTTGAAAGATTTCCCCAAAAAAACAAGATAAAATGGGGCAGTTATTTTTTAGTAAGATAAGCTGGTGATATTTTACTTACATGGAATAAATGCGTAGACGAATTGAATACTTTTGGTACGGCTGGCCTATATCCAAATCCTTCTTTTATTGATGACCATGTTGAGAAGAGGGCCCACCAGCCATAGCAAAGAAGAGAGATCTTTTGATGACGGATCTAGATACGGTGGCCCAATTGGTGGGTACCGAAATGTGATGTCTCGAGTTTCATATTCATCAGATGTCAAGTAAACATCTCGAAAAGAAGAGAGACCCGATGTACTCTTCCTCTACCAGGTTGGAGGATCATGCATTTAATATCAAGAATCACTAGATGAGTATCTTGGCATAAAACAAATAGTTGGATTTTTAAGTTTCTAACCATTTAGATCTGACAGTTACAAAATTGGATTATATCTTTTTAATCCTAAGACATTATTTTTTGTTAGACATGTAAAATATGTATGAATTTTTTGTCTTCAAAGGTTAGTCACCACTTTGCAGAGGTTAAATTAGAAAAAATCGAGGTCCTCAATATTTTCCGGTATTGGATTTTACCTGAGAGAGTGAATGCATAATATTCTTTTTTTCCTGTATTGAAAGGTATAGGTAGACTTTTTTTTTTTGTGAAATACATAAGCTAAAATTTTTTAATTTTGTATACTATGAGACCATTAACTTTTAATACATGGAAGTCACATCTATTCTTAGCCATTGAATGTAAAATTCGAGATATTAAATTATGTCACATCTGAAAAATCTTATTTTTGAACTTTGTACCTAATCAATGACACATTATGAAGCACTCAATTTCACATCTAGAAGTCAATGAGTTTGTGGTCTCCTTTTACCAAATGACCCTTATGAATAAGAGAGTGGACCAAATATTTGCATTGATTTGTAAATAAATGTCCGTTCAAACTAAGGGTCTTGAAATTGCTCTTTCTTTGTTTTTTTTTTTAGCGGATCAATGGTAGGAATCAAACCTAGGACATAGCCTTGAAAATGTGAACTTTTAAAAAAAAATCTGTGGTTTAAATTAATTGGCGGCAAAGGCCCCCTACCCATTTTTCATTAATAGAAGATAGAAAAAATTACATCATACTGTTTTACAACCCTACAATAGGGTAAACTGCTAAAATTCTTAGGCTTCCTAATGCGACATTCCTTGGATCATAACCGGTATTTCATCTATATAGGACCATCACACTCATCACCATCCAAATCACTGGATTAAGTGAGTAGAAAGACAATGCGACATTCCTTGGATCATAACCGGTATTTCATCTATATAGGACCATCACACTCATCACCATCCAAATCACTGGATTAAGTGAGTGGAAAGACAGTAAGATGAGCCAATGGATTTGTGCAGGGTTTGTGGGTCTCACCTTTCTCTCACTGACTAACCCATTGATTGAGAGAGGACTGTTATTACAAATGAGGTCATATGGTAGAACTTCATTTTTATGAGTTGGGACTGCAGGTACCCAGGTGGATATTACTTGAAATAATTTTTTTTTAATGTTCTAGAGCATATATTTGAAGATAAAGAATGATAAAAAGTCATTTAATTACTCGAGATGATGAGCAGAGAGAAAAAGTTAGACGCAATGTACCGTGACTCTCCCAAGTCCACTCGAACTTGGACCGGTAACTTGGCCACACCCATACAGTTGGTTATACACCTCGGGGATATAAAACTATTTCAAATAATATTTTAAATTTTTTTGAAAAATGTTGGATTGTTTTATAATGTTTTTGTATATGATTTGGGTGTATTTGGAAGAGATTGGTATTTTTTTTTTTTTTTTGTCCATAATCTCAATTTCTATATTTTCTCTTTTTTTAGATTTTTTTTTAAAATGTCCCAAACTGTAAATCTTTTTTTTTAAATCCATTTTTCTCTACATTTTAAAGATTGGTTTAACTTTTTATAGTGGTTTTAGCTTTCAATTAGTTTTAAGACAAGTTTTTTATTTTCATTTTTTTCTATTTCTTTAAATTCTTTTACCAAAAGACGCTGAACTCATCTGAGTCGCTGAGTACTAAGGACTCAGCCGGGTAATGCGCCTCAACCAGGAACAAGACCCTAGCCGAGGCGAGTCCCGGCACACTGGTTAGAAATGTGTTTTGAGTTAGAATATGGTGCTTGCATTCACAAGGAAGAATTGAACTGTTGCAGGGTACGAGATTCCAAAGGGTTGGAAAGTGCTTCCCATACTTAGTGGCGTGCATTTGGATGCCTCCCAATACCACGAACCGTTACAATTTAATCCATGGAGATGGCAGGTAACCTCTCTATCCACTCTAGTTGAAGTTTCATTTGATTTCATCATATAAATAAGAAAAATATTAGACGATTTGGATGATGATGATGTAGTAAGCCAAAATACTTCAAATTAGGCTCAACGGCCTTTCTCAACACATTTCAAAGACAAGCTATAGTTTGGGCAGATGGGGATTAAAATTCTCATGAAACCATCCATGTAATGTTATCACAACCAGACTGACATTGTAGGAGCCTGGTTTAATCAAAATCGATCTCACTACCTTGATAGGTTTTGACTAAATCAATCAGGATATCGGTTGACCTGACTAGTTGATAACTATGTTAGCAATATCTAGGATAAGAACTAGCTACATGTGTATGATTGAATGATTGAATGATTTATTGTGTAATGAATGAATTGGCACCCAGGGCAAGGATAAGAGAGGAGAATTGTATGGTAAGTATTTCATGGCTTTTGGGGGAGGATTGAGGCTGTGCCCCGGGTCAGAGCTGGCCAAGCTGGAGACGGCCATCTTTCTTCATTATTTTGTTCTCAATTTCGAATGGACCCCTTTGAACCCTAAAGATGTACCCATGGCCTTTCCATTTGTGGATTTCAAGCATGGCCTCCAACTTTCACTAAAACCATTGTCCCATCCCACTACCACTTTATCCTCTTAAAATAATAATATTAAAGGATTGTTAATTCCTTTTCCTCCTTCTATATCAATCAATCTCCTTTCTACATTACAAGGAAACTTCCATTTTGAAGTTTTCATACGCTTTGGCTTACACACTTCTTCTTCTTCTTCTTTGTCCTGTCTTTCTTTTATTTGTTATTGTTTTTTGGTAGTTCAGTACTCGGAATTGAACTTGAGATGTAATTTTTTTTTTTTTAGCAGTTCAATAGTCGGAATTGAACTTAAGATGTAACACTAGTAAATGTCAATCGCTAAGCACTCAAGCCCAAGCCCCATTTTTTGGCTTAAAAACTTTATATTCAATAAGGAGAGAGAGAGAGGGGGGGAAGAGTTTATATACGGTGCACTTAAAAAATCCACTAGAAAGTTGTTTCTACACCGGAAAACCCTCAAATTTATTAAATCGGCCTCGAGATTCAAAAACATGAAAAAAAAAAGATTTCTAGTCCTAAAAATAGTACATCTTCTAACACAATATTTGGACCTTCCATTTTCAAGCTTTTCAAATGTGTATAGATCTACTTGATCATCGCTATTTCTTAAATTTTAAATTTCATAATTGTGGACAACAATAGATTTTCATATCATTACAAGGCTTTGCAGCTTTAAAACTACATTTTTGATATAGTTTTGAGGTGCACCTTACATCAATAGTATAAGGTTGACACCTTATACAAACCTCACCCGAGCACGGTTGAGTGATAAGATGGAGCTGAAGAGAGACATGGAGGGCCCAAGTTTTTTAAAAGCTCTTTATAAGACACCAAAGTGTGGGGGTCCAGTGAATAATCGAGGTGGAAATGTGCATGGGATGAGTGAGAGGGTCCCAAACCCTAATTTCTTGTGGTCTAAAACACCTCATGGGATGGGCTCCAGCAATTTTGAGCTATGCATGGAGAAGCCCCATCATATTTCTAAAAAGCTAAAATGCATGTGGATAAATGATGGCTTGGATCTTGACATAACAACTAAGCCCAAGAACCCACGTGCCGTGAGGGTCCCTAACCATGTCTGTGCCAGCAAGATATGTCCCCTGTTCCTTTCAACAGTGCACAAATGGTTTGAAGTGAGGGAAATCTACTATTGGGAATTGGAAAGAGAAGATAACCATATCATGAAGGATCTCTTGGACCACAAATGCCACCAAAATATTAGCAATGACTTGTCCAGTCCCACGACTATATAATGACTTGATTCAATGTTTAAAAAATCACTGATTCGATTCAGAATCAGGTGATCTGGATAGGGTATCAGTGACATTATTTTAGATCCGCTAATAAATTGGGATTACGACGATTTGCTATAAAGAACCGGCTTGATGACGTCATGATTCGGACAAATCACCAGTTCCTATTAGAAAAGCCATTTAATCACGCATGGGGCGCATTAATCGCGTGTGGGGTCATCAATGTCGACTCCCTGCATTAAGCCTACACTGAGTAATCCGGTAGCCTTCATTTTTTTATACTAGCTTTTTCTTTGTGGGACTATTTTTTTCCCTTTATTTGAGCGGGGCAGTCAACTGCATTAAATTAGCAAGCATCCTAATGAGATAAACCTTAGGGTGCATCTTAAATGAGCATGCAATCATATAATAAACCTTAGCACGTGCATCTTAAATGAGCGTCATATGATAAACCTTAACGTGATACTGAAGCCTTAGCATGTCATTTAATTTATAAACACTACTGAAAGAAAGACTAAATGTAATCTTGCCTGGGGGATATATTTTTTTGTATTTTTTTTTTGACCCCTTTTCTTTTCTTTTTCTTTTCTTTTGGCAAAGATTACTTACAAGTAGTCTTATTACAACAACTCTTGCTTCAAAGAAAATAAAATTAGCAAATCTAATATCTTAAAAACCTTGATGTCACTAAACCAATAAGAACGAAAATAATCACAATTCTTGTGCTTGGGAATATAAAGACAATATGATTAAATATCGCAAGAAACAAAAAGAGAGTACCGTAAATTACCACAACCGAACTTATTACACCTCACACCGAGTCACCACCATCCGATGGAACGGGATCAACAATCAACGTTCAATCTCAGCCGGAAAAACAAGTTTAAGCCAAACCCTCTAATGGAAATATGAACTCCTTTATCATAAATCTCAAACCCTTAGGTGAACCCTTTTAGCAACCGAATTTGAAAGATATGCTTCTCTTTTCTACCACAACCCTTTCTACCACAACCCTATAGTCTAAAACCTAAAGAGAGATGAGAAATGATGAAAACCTTGAGAGAAACACCATGAAAGAGATATCAAATATGAGAGAGCGGGGCGTGCCCCATCGGGTCTCTTGAGGGAGAGAGAGAAACTATCTTAAAAGAGAGAGAGATATTCAAAGTGGGGTGTACCCCCTTTGTGGGATGTGAGAGAGAGAGAGAGAGATGGACATTACGTGTAAGAGATAAGGTGTAGAGATTTTGATAAGGATCAATCCATTTTTATAGTGCTTGAACAAGATTAGGGTTTCTTAGGGTTTTCTTTGGTTTGCCTCTTCTTGTGAGATTGACTATGAATCATTGATCTTGGGTGACTTGTAAGGTGAGAGATTTGAGCCCTCCATTTCATAAATACGCCATCAACATCATAGAAGGTACTATAATTTTTATTCTTCAATCCTAAACCATTTTCTCATCAATAGAAATTAAATAAAATAATTTCATTCATAATATAGTACTTACCAAAATTATGCGTAAGCCTTCTCATGCTTTCTAAAAATCCTTTGAAAGCTTCCTCAAGGCAAAATCTTTCTATAACACTTCAAAGCCTTCTCTTCAAGCCAAAGCTTGAACTAACATAAGGAAAGTTTCATTAGGGTGGGGCGTGCCACCCTAGGTGGTATTTCATGAGCCCCACCCACATGCAATGATGGGCCCATTAACATATTGGGCATCCCATGCAATATTAAAATTATTAAAATTAATAATATGCTTTTTAAAAATCCATAAAATCAAATTTGAATATTTAAATCAATCTAAAATCAATATCTCTATTTTTATAATCCAAATTTGATAAATAAAATATCCAGATATTTAAAAAATTCAAATAATAATTCTAAAAATCATATATCATTACAACTCACATAATTAAATTCATTAGATGGGAAGAAGATCTATATGTTCTAAGAATTAAATAAATAAACGCTAGGGCACTCCATCTTCAACTGTGGACTACGATCCACACTTACTTTATCAAATCAGCCTTGTGTTTCCTATGACCCACAGTCTATGTAGGGGCTCATTAGTGGATTATCAAAGTCTGACAGATGAGCCAAGGGGTCATAATCCCAGTTTGTGGATTTCAGATTCTCCCCTTGAGACGTACCAAGGTCACTTAGACATGATGCGACCACTGCTCCTATAGCGCATAAGCGTATCTCTTGCATATATATAAGCTAAACCCTGAAACGTAGTTCGTTTTCCCGAAACAACTATCATATATGCATGTCGTGAGATGGCTCGCGAATGAGGCTTTGTCCCCAATCTCTAGAAGCCATCATCACACACAAGGGTCACACAATCCCTCGGCTCACTTATCCAGGCATACTTCGACCTCATCAATGGATGACTTATTAGAACCCTTACCGAATAGTTTTCTATGCCTAGGTAACATGGGTTTTTTCTAACCGACTGGTCTAGATCTTCAAGATCAGTCTGGTATCAGCAAACATCGCTTGCTTAATATGGTCTACACAAGACCACACTCCCATTGAATTCATGTTCCATTATATGAAAATGTTTATTACAAGCATTCATAAGGTCTTTAATGGCCACAATTACCCAACATCTCCCACTTGGCCTTTAAATGTCTTATATTCTCTCAGCCTCACTTTCTCTCATCCACATTTCTCTTCCATGTCTTACAAAATCATTAAGGGCAACCCCCTTTGTCAGATGATTTGCAATCATCAAATCAGTGGACATATGGCTAATATTGATCTCTCTCAATCTCACTTCATTCCTCAAGTGATAGAAACATGGTTTTATATGATTAAAGTTCTTATGGAATCGTGGCTCTTTTGACACACATATCGTTGTTGTGTTGTCTCAGAAATTCATTATTACCCCACAACGCACAGGGTAAAAGTCAATTTGATTAAGAAATTCATTAATCCATACGACCTCCTTGGTTGCCAAACAACACACCATATACTTGCCTTCATGGTGAACAATGCCACCATATCCTGTTTATTTGATTGCTAAGAAACTGTACCCCCTCCAAGCATGAACATATATCCAAATGTAGACTTCACATCATTTGGATCTGTGAGATAGCTTGCATCTATATATCTGAATATCCAAGCAGCTAAAACAAAGGTGGGATATATGTTCATGCTTGTTTGATAGGAAATCCATTAGTTTCACAATATGCAAAACATTTCTGAACGACAAAGATTCAACAACACTAGTTTGATAGTAAATCCATACAAACCAAGTTATCTAATCGACACAACATGTGTCAAGAAAGCTTAGTAAGATGACCATCTTACAGCATTCCCTATGCTCCAAGGTCTTAGGTAATCGAAGATTCTAAATAGATAGAAATATGGGTCAAGGCATATGGGTATTTAAAAAAACCAGTACATGACAGTTTCTCTTCCAATTTTAAATATACTTTCAAGACACAATGTTTTTCCCTTTAATAAAAAAATATATTGACTGGGTATATAGACATTCACAAGCAATAGTTAGATGATAGCATGGGGCTTTAGAATGATTTTTCATAAAGACTTAGTAGACCTTGCAAGACGATGGGGTTTTCTCAAAACCATATTCATAGACTTAGGTTTTTTTCAAATCATCCAATTTAATTTTAAAATACATGATTAGCCTTCATAAATCATTTTACTGCATTCACCTTTAATTTTGTACCAAGTCAAGTTCATGGCCACAAAAACAAATCATAAAGACCATCTTATAATTTTATCCAAAATAATACATGACTAAAGAATAGTTATCAAAATCTTGATAAAATACTTCCTTTTAGCAAATATGTAAACTTTATCAAGAGATCATCATCACATGCAACACATTATATTATTGGACATTATTGGAAGGATGGTCACTAAGACCGAGTTATATTAGAACACTCCCTTCTTGCTTAAATATT